GAGGCGGGGAAGACGGAATAAGAGCTGAAACACGGGATTTACACGTGTATTTGCTAGTAGCGCGCTAACGTGCATGCACGACCGAGTCGAGTGTTTATGGTAATCCTCGATCAGGGTGGCCTCCTCCTCCTCCTCCTCCTCTTCCTCTTCCTCCCTTCCTCTCTCGCCTTCTCCCTCTCCTCCGGAGAACGCGCTTTTTCTTTCTTGCGCCGGATTTTGTATCATCGCCGATCACGTTGCTTTCTTCTCCTAAAAACATATAATAGATGTTCGTGTCCCGATCACGTTCCAATAAATCTAATTATTCTAATATCCATTCGATTTATAAGAGATTCTATTAAGGGCGAAAGTGGTGAATTATTCGAGGTTAACAAAAGTCAACGTTTCTTCCATTTATCGAGAACTTTGCTCCCGGAAAACTCGACAACACCGCCAAGTATCACGTCCACGTTTATTCGTCAATTTTGATGGCACGGCTACCGAACGTGTATATCCACCGATGAATATCCAGTGACGAGGCCTCGACCGGTTTCACCCGCGAAAAATCTCGATTTCCTAGGATAATTATTATTACCCGGTCGAGATGATGGGAATGAAAAGAAGGAGCAAAAGAAAGAGGAAGAGGGGGGGCAGAAGCAGCGGCGGCATCGCGTAACGAGCTTGACGTGTTGGCGGTCCAATTCAGTTATTCAGTTGAAACGTTGGGAAAGAAAGAAGCCTCTCTCGAGGAACAAAGCGACCGACAGACCGAGGGAATCGTCTATTTTTCCTTGAAATCGTCTCTGATCCGAGGCCGATTTAAGGATCGATCGGGAATATTAAAGGGCGAATCGTTGAAATTAATCGCGTACGTTCACGTATCCTCGAAGGAATGCGCCTGGATTTGTTCGTGATGGACGATATCCGGTGATACAGTAGTTCGTGATCGCGACCGACTACAATTACGAAGACTCGTTATCGAAGCTGCAACTTGCCCGACTGGTAAACTATTCTCCCGATTTTATTCCTATCCCTCTTTTTTTTTTTTCCTTCGATTCCAAAGACTATTTATTTCGTTTGAGAACTCGAATAATTTCCTTGAACTTTTATCGTCAAATTTCAAAATTTCAAATCACGAACATTAAAAAATATATAGATCGAGTGATTCGTAGGATTACTTTCTTCCCTTTACGTTTCAAGACTCGCATGATGCCTTATCATCATATCGTTTGCTCTTGTTTCCTTTACCAGGCCTACTGAACTCGTTTCCAGCGAACACATTATCTCTGTAATCACTGTGATTCAGCTGGTAGCGGGTAAGGGGACACCGAAACGAAAGATACACTTGAATCGCGATTCAAAACGCTTCCCTATTCGCGTACGACATTCCATCGCGTACGACAATTACCTCGAGGAGAAGAAGGAGAAGAAAGGATCGCGTTACAGTCTCGACTCGTTGCGACTAATTGAGCCATTTCCATCGATTCTGTATTCATGCGTTCCCCGTACGTACAAATAGCTGTAATCTATGGTAATACCATTTGTCTCGGGGAACGATACCCGCTCGCTTCGGAAAATCGACGCACCGTGTGTTTAATTCGTATTTACGAGATCCTTATCCCTCCCAATAAATCGCGCGCCACGATCCAGTTCTCCATCACTCCGCGCCCACGTACTTTTCACAAGTTTCGACGAAACGCTCCTGAATCACGTTTCATATTTATTCGGATATTTTATAATATTCGACCAGAATCAGATCGTTGAAAGTGAGTCTTTCCAAAGACAGAGACGAGGGGGGATCGTGCGTCGCTCTACTCGGGACCAGGATGGAGAGGGCAAGGAGTAATTCCACGGTATCGGGTATACGGCGTAAAAACAGTCGTTAGATGGTAATAATAATAATAACAATAATAATAATAATAATAATAATGCTAGAACCCGAGAAGAAACTTATTCTACCTTATTCCACTATTTTTCAATGCTCCCGCCGCTCGATAATATAAATTGTATCCGACGTAGGAAATTTCTTTGATATTTTAATCCTAGTATCTAGTTTCGAAAAACGTTTTGAACGCGTATGAAAAACATACCGAGTGTCTAAATATACGTTACGACAGCTTCGAAGCCTCTGTTTCTTGGTTGCGTAAAAAAAAAAAAAAAAAAAATCGAGGAATTTTTGATCATCGCCTGCTTCAAAATCGCTCTCGCGTCATTAACGTCGCGCCCCCCTCACGATATCTCAGTCTTAAGGATCCCCTCCCTCGAAAATCGCATCGCTTCGTTGCAGCACCTGTGCGAACAACGGTTGACATTTATTATCCTGCGAGTACAATGTAGCATCATCGGGCTCTCCGTTCGGAGGTTTTCGCAAACGCTCGAATCCTCCTCCTCCTCCTCCTCTTCGTAGTTTATAGGTGTAATTACGAGCCTTAAAACTTTTACTCGGCTCGTATCGTGACAGCGAAATTGCAGCACGAGGACGATGATACGATAAGGTGTTCGGCCCCATAAATCGGCAGGGAGATAAGGGGCAAATCCGTTCGGATGCTTTCTCCTCGCCGCTCTCACCTGCCCCCCTTCTCTCTCTCTCTCTCTCTCTCNCCTGCCCCCCTTCTCTCTTTCTCTCTCTCTCTCTCTCTCTCTCTCTCTCTCTCTCTCTCTCTCTTTCTCTCGTCTCAACGATCGAGATTATGCTAACGTTTCGATGATTTACACCCGGCCTCGAGGATTCCACGGGATCCGAGCGTGTCTCGTCCGTCGGACGAATTCGAGGAGAATTCGGCCGCACAGGTGTTTCACCTGGACGAGTTATGCGGCGCAGGTGGAAAGTTTTATCCCTCGGACGTAATGACTCTATCCGGGCAAGGGAGAGGCTTTCTCTTTCTCTTTCGGGAGAGGCGGGCGGTGGTAATAGTCCGTGACGTTTCACCACGCGGGTTTCACCACGACTATCGGCGCGGGATACGATATTTTACGGAGCGTGGGGGAGGGAGGGTATGGAGGGACGGTCGATCGTTCGTGCTCCACGCTTTGGCTCGGATACCGGCCACCACCGCGCGTGCTTTGACACGACCAATGTATAGATAATACCGATTTGTTACCGGTAAGCGTGAACACGAGGTTTTATCTAAAGGATACGTTGGGTAAATGTGTTTTATGCAAAACAGTCGACCCGCATTGCCTCCCCTCTCCACCTTACCTAACTGGAATTGAAAAAAAAAAGAGAAAAGAGAAAAGAGTTGGAGATAAATGTTACAACCTCGGCCAAAAATTTTCCTCGAAATTTTACCACGCGATCTAATCGCCGCCAACCAAGGGGAACTCGACGAATGTTATATAAATAGAATTTACGATATTGGAACGGCAAACGGGGAATTGGAAATGGAAAGCTTTTGCTTATCCAATTATATCCACTCGTTGATCGGTATCGTTGTACGAAAGGAAACAGGCCGGTTTCAGAGAGCGTTCTATTCATTTCGTGTCAGAGCAATTAGCGATCGTGATGGGTTAATTGGTCCCGGTTCTCGTTTTCGTCGCGTGACGAGCTACTTGCATCCAAACAGAGACATCTCGAAACACGCATCGTTCCGATATAAATGAATAACGAATAATTAAATCGGGTATATATAATAATAATTAAATACGAGAAAAATGTAAGAAATAAAAAGATACGCTGGACAAATTTTTAATTCGAACGTTCAAATTAAAACCATAAACGACGGTAATATCGAAGAACGTTTTACGATCCCACGTAACCTATAATCAACGTGTAATTTTAATCGGTTCCCCAAACCGGATATGGATATATTCCACCCAAAACATCGCATCCGTACAATAGCGATGGAAAAACGGGGAGTTCCAGGAAGGTGGAATGTTCGTGTCGGTTTCGGCGGAGCCGAAGAATAAAGAAGACACGCTCCTTGGACCGGTGAGGCTGCTCTCTCTCGCCCACGATCGCCGATCTTATCTTTCGCCCGTATCTCGACCCATTCGCGCCTCCGCCAGCCGCTTTTAATCGCCGCCATCTTTTCGTTTATCCACGATTATTTTGAATCCAATAATTCGATAGATCTGCTCGAAACGGAGCAAGTAATCGAAATAGTAGTTTTGCTCGTATAGTAATATTGCCTCTCTAAAAAGGGGGGGGAGTAATGGACGGGTAATGGAGGATAAAAAAAAGGGAGGCATCTTCTGTTCCTTCTGGAAGAAACGGAAAGGAAAAGATAGAGCGGTGGAATAATGTCTCTATTCTCGTTTTCGAGCGGCGCATTCTCGAGCCCGATAATTACACGTTGACCGAAGAAGCGCATTGGGCGCCCTTCAATTAGGCCGGGGGATCAGGCCTGCTGCTTCCACGCCAACCTCGACGAAAAACTGTTCCTCCTCGAGGAAGCGAGATCTCGACGACAGCCAACGATATTGACAATTCCAATTCGCATCTTCGAAATCTTCTCGACGAGTTGAAATACTCTAAATTTCTCGATGTACGTGAATTGTAGTTCACCTTCGAATCGAAAGTAATAATACGAGTAGGATTTCTTCGCCTTCGACGTCGCGTAATTTGCGATTTTCCAGAATGCATCGTGCTCTTAATTATCGTCCTTGCGGGCCGTAACCACATCCTTGTCGACGTCCCTTTCGTCGTCCCAAGGATATTTTTTTCGCACGACATCTCCGTTCGTCGCGTGTCGCCCAACGGCGGCGGCGGCCGCCCAACGATGCTCGAAGTTGTTGAAGTTGCGTGTACGGCCGCACGACAGGAACCACATCTCAATTACGAGACTTAATACCAATAAAAAAAAACGATATTGCTCCTCTTGAAGGAGAGGGAAGTTTATAGCGCGATACGAAAGGTATTTTCAGTTATCTAATCTAGATTAAGCCGTGGACGTCGAATTCTTTCCCATCTCGGATCTATGTGACGAAATGCTTTTTTTTAACGTATATGTTATATATATATATATATAAAAGAAAAGAAAAATTGGTAAGAAATGAGGACTGAAACGAACCCGTTCCCGCAGGTGTTTACGAGATGAACGGGTTCGTGGAGGGTGCCACGTTCGAGAGTATCGTGCAATACGTGTTGAAGAACATGAAGATTACCCAAGCGCGCGCCGGCTACCTGGTAATGGAGGTTCTGAAAGCGGGAGTCGCTCTAGGAAGGATCAAGAAGACCCCGTATGGCACTTACGTCCTGATCAACGATAAATCTGCCGCCACGCCTAACATCAAGGAACCGCGATTCAGCGACGACAGCGACTACGACGTGTCGTCGGAAGGAAGCTCGTAACCCAACCTCTTCCTCTCAAAAAACCGAAAGCTACGTCTTATTTTGTATCATTCTCTATGTCTATTAAAATATACCTTGATTCGTCGAGTAATCCTCGTGTATGATGATTATCCATCTGCTCGATCGAATAAAATACCCATTGGTATTTATTTTTTTTTTTTAAATCACGATAAAAGCGGCGAACCGTTTTTTCTTTCTTTTCTTTTCCTTTCTTTTGAGACTCGTTCGTGCCCCTTCGCCATTTTTGCCTCCTCTTCGTTTCTGGATTTCGCGGTTGACCGGGCGCCTCGTCAGCAGGGGTCCTACCGAAAATTACAGTTTTCGGCGGTAAATTCACCGTCGAGCGACAGGATCGCGAGGCAAATGATTTTCCAGTGAACGAGCGCGTCCCACGTATTCGTCGAGCCAACCGACTTGCCGGGATCGCATCACCGTCGGGCCTCGAAGACGCACCGAGAAGACGGGTCAAGGAAGAGTTGTTAAGTGCGTGGGTCGAGCTCAGCGGTTCTGGACGATGCGACGGGAGGCTACTACTCGGCTAATAGTCATCCTATCCGCGTAGTATCGTCGCCAAGCCCACCGGAGGAAGAAACTTACACCGACAAGGCTGTATCGTCGGTATTTTGCAACAATGCGGAGAACGTCTTCGAGGCGGCTACTTCGATTCGCGCCCCTTCGTCGAATAATCGTTTTTCTACACACGCGCGTTAAAGAACCTTTTAAAAGACGTTTCTCCCGTCGTTTATTCCTGGCTACCAGCCAGTTTCCGTTCTCCTCTCGCGATGCCTCAACCGTGCCACTATCGCGCCCGAACCGACCTTTCCTCTTCCCTCCCCTCTTCCTTCCACTCCATCTCTCCGTTCCTCTCTTCTCTCGAGGTGGTGCAGGTGTCGTGCATTGTCCGCAGTCGCGGCCTCTAAATCTCGTTCCTGACGTGGCTCTGCGGCGTAGCCCCGGCCTTCTCACTCTCTCCTCTCTCTCTCCTCCAAGATACATACGGCTGTCGGCAAGTTACACGTTCCACGGACACTCGTTCTCCCTTATTGCGAAGCGGACCGTCCGATAACCATCTTTTCGAGAATTTCGGCCCCCTTTCATAAGTCTCATCGCCGCGGTACGACCGCTTCTCGCACCTCCTTGTGCGATGATAGATCTTCGAGGGATCCTCGACTTCGAATCGTTTTTCGACCCGAAACTTTGCCCGATGTAACGGTCGATCTCGAACGATTGAACGTTGTCGAAAAATAGCGGGTATGATGGATAAGATACGGAGAGCGAAACGAGGATTCCTCGCGACCAATTACCAGTCGCGAGAGGCGATTTAATTTCTGCTGTTACAAGAAACGGTCGCCTCGAACGAGCAAACGCGAAAACTATTCCAAGGTTAACACGCGTTGCGCCTGCGCGCGTGTTTATGCGCCCAACCGTCCAAACCGAACGCGTGCTTAACAAGTTAGCGATGGGCCGTGACGTCGTGCGTCCGTTCCAACGATTCTCTTCTTTTTCGCGATTTCTTAACGTTGCACAAGTCGTACGTGCTCGTATCTCCGTAACCGAGTTCCAGTTCTCGATCGAGTTTCGATACGTGGCCAATTTCCGAATGGATCGTTCGAATGGGTCGGAAATCGATGGGAGAAAGAGACTCGCGAACGGTGTCGCAGCCATCGCTGGTCGAAAGCGGGCCAGATACTCGACCTATTGCGCGGTGGAAAATGTCGAGCCGCGATCCTATACGATGTCCGGAAGACTTATGCGTCTGCGCGGCAACGGTACGAGAGAGATAGAGAGAGAAAGAGGGACAACACGGAGCGAGGTGTATCGGCCGGCGTACAAATTTATGCCGGTACCACGCTAATGTCCGCATACGTTCTCTTTCAACGTGTGTACACGCGGGATTCGACCTGTTGTCGAAACGAGTCCGAGAGCGAATCCTACTTTCGATCGAGAGATTTTTTTCGAATTTTTATACAGTTGGAGACTCCCGTATCCGAATATCCTAATATACGAACGTTCTATTATCCGTACGTTTCGTATGTTTACATACTTAAATTACGACGTAAATATAACGTATTTAGATATGATATAAATACTTTCTTGCGTTCGGTCGGCTAAACGTAACCATATTGATCGAGTCTGAAATCGTAATAGCAAAATGAAAACGTGTAGCTTTAACTATTGAAGTGAAATACGAAATAATTAAAGATGTTGGAAATAGTGAAAGTGCAACGAAATTAGCAAGAATATACGGTGGATGATTCAACGATTCGATGATTCGAAGCGCAACGGGGACATAGATGTTGAAAGAAACTGTCAATTTGTTCATTTCTACTTGAATAAATGAAGTTTAATGCAAAAAAAAGTAATTGTTCTATCGTCCGAAAATTCCACTTTTGTCTCTCTTAGTTAGTTCGGATACGGGAGTTTTTTTCCTTCCTTTCTCGAATGTTAATCATTCGCGCGGCGAGAATCGTCAAAGGTTCGTTTATTTCGAAATATATTCCCAAAAATTCGTTGCACGATCTCGTTACGGCGAGTATCGCGAGAAGCAAGGCACGATTTAACGCGTATCTCCATATATTTACACGGACTCGGTGCTCAGTTTAAAATATTCCGACCGAAGAAAAGACGCGCGGGACGAGCGGAAGGCTGTTCGCAACACGCATAATTTGCACCCCGTTGCGCCATATACGTAAGTAGGTTGCCAAGTTGGGACGAAGATGTAGATAAATAAAGCGCGAGGCAACCTTTTGCTCGAGCCCCTTTCCTCCGGAATTCCCGATTTCGTCTTGCTTCCATCTCCAAGATCTTCAACTTTTTTTCACTCTCCATCTCCTCGAGGCGAGTTTCGCCCTTATCCCAATGGTACACCAGCTGCCAACCGTCGCAAGGTGGATACGGATTCGTCTCATTCAGATCGATTCCGGGTAAAATAACCTCCGAGATCTTATATTACGCGATTTTGCAATCTCACCCAAACAGAGATAATAATATAATAGACCAAGGATAGCTCGCGAGTAATAACGAGTAAAGGAAACGTTGGGCTCTTCTAATACGCTCGATTATTTTGTCGAAAGTACGAGAATCGTTTCTACGATGAGCTCGTCCTCGATGTATCGATATAGGAAGAAACGGACACGAGCCAATCGGCGTCGTTCCTCCTCCAGGGCCATCCTTCGCAATTACCCGTCTCGCAATCGGTAAAACTCTAAGCACTCTGCCGAGCCGCGTACCTCTTGCCGGTGTAATTTCACCTTCGATTCCCTGCCGGCTGCTGCCTCCTTCCTTCCTTCCCTCGCGCCGTTGTAATTTTGCGGGAGGCGAAAGAGCGGAGGGAGAAGAAACGAAGTGTGAGCAGCTCGGTAATCAGCACGTACCTCATCTTCGACGATAACGCGAAATTCCACGCGTACGCGTTTCTCTCTTTCCCTCCCCTTCCCTCTCCTTCCAATCCGATCCTTCGCGGATCCTAAAAGCCAATCTACCACGTTGACGAGCATGGTCGCTCGATCCGTCGATCCGTGACAAAAACGACGGGGGAGGGGAGATTTAGAAATTCCTTTTGTGGTGACGAGCGATCGACTCGAGTTAACGAGTTGCCGATATTTACCGTGTCATGCGGATTACTACTATTGTATGCATACGCAACACACGTGCACGCTTGACGATTAAACACAACGCGTCAGCCGCACGAGTTGGACGCTACGTTAAACTCCCTTTTCTTCCCTCCAAGCTTAATCGAATCGATCGCGACGCCTCCAAAAATTATACACCTCCAATGCAAACACATTTCCAAGAATACCCTCCACCTGCTCTACCTCCTTTCCTGGAACTTCTCTCCGTTCCCCGGAACCGCTCGAGTGTAATTTAGGGCGACTGTACATACATATATATATATACATACATATATCCCTGTGCGTCAAGAATGATTACAGGATTATCTATTAGGTACCTACGAAACGATCGTGATACGGGAATAATGGAAGAGAGATGGAAATTATTCGAGAGCGAATAAAATGGTCGAGTCCTTGGGGGAAAGGAAATTTTCGAGAAACGCGAGGAGACGCGGAGCCGGTAAATTACCGGCGCACGCTCAAGAATCCGAGCGTGGCTCGGGCGAGGCGGTATCGGTGGGTCGCATCTCCATGACAAATACTGGCAGGAACCGGCGCGCGGACGCAGATCCTATCTGCATTTTATCCCAACAGATAAATGGGCCCGCGTGTAACGCCGCTCCGACGCGGGACGACGTACGTGTACGTACTCGATATTTCCCCGCAAGAAACGCGCCGATCGGCCTCGAGCGAGCCGCCGAAACGGAAAGCGGGGCCGCCGCCTTTCTTGTCTCGCGAACATATTTTCCATCTCTGTGTCTCGGATATTTTCGATCGAGGTATTCGTCGAGAAGTTAATTCGTAAAACGCGCGACAAAAAAGCGTACTTTACTCATTTTTCTTTTTTGTATTCAACTTGTTCAATTTTTATCGCAATAATTAAATACGATTACCTATTGTTCCATTCCCTGCTAGGCGCGAGAATTAACTTTTCAACCGTCTCCTTCTCGAAAACAGTGGAGAAAAACAGTGGCAGAGGAAGGACGTAGTAGCACAATGCACGGAGAATAGCCTCCTCTACAACGCGATGTAACGCGTATTCGCGCGAATAAACGCGTAATGATCGGGTTTCGGCGTTACAGAGGAGAGGGGGGAAGAGAGGTAGGCGTACAATGTTGCCACGACGATACGGATCGCGTGCAACCGCGGAGCGCGTTTTTAAGCGCACGCAAGCGGCCACCCCGTGAAATTCCCTTTTGCCCAAAACTCGATCACGATGAAACGGTAATACGCGGGCGAGGATAAAAACGCCTTTCCACGAAACCGGAATCTTCGAATTCGATCGCCAAGATATGTTCATTCCGTTCGACGAAAGAAGTCGAAGAACGTATAATTTTACGACGAGCGAGTTTATTTTCCTTTTTTTTTTTCGACCCATTTTGGAATCGAAAAATTGCGACGATCTCGCCCGTTTCCCTTCTCGTTCTCGCTTTCCTAAAACGGCGCTTCGTCGATTCTCGTAATTAAGAATCGCGGATGG